TTTTTTTGCTTCTGCATAGATGTCTCAAATAACAACTTATATGGTACAATCCCTACTACTGGTCCATTCGAGCAATTGAGCAAGATTTGTAAAATTGTTCATTAGATAACATGTCTTTGATATATTGGTTTGTTATTCTTGAAGTCTTGAAACTACGACCACTTGGCATGTTATATATACATTTATGGATGTAAGTTATGTGCGATGCTGGTGTTCTGTGGATCATATACCTTTATGGATGTCATTCATTGGATTGTACTAAAAATGGTCTACATTTTTATGTTTATAGAAGCTTGGGGATTATTAGTCTATATTCCATTTTACATGTCTTTTAAGTTAGCATGAATGGATCTGGAATAATGGATTTTTATGTTGGGTGAATGTCAAATAAACTAATATTACATTTTTGTGAGTTTACAATCTCGTGTTTCTCTTCATAATTTTTTGCTCTCGATCTTCTTTCGAGCGTTAGCATTCTAACTGGAACTGAAAATGCCTTGGAGGCGCGAACCCACGTATGTGGCAAAATACGAAGGCTGGTTCGCCGATTACCTTTCCATCTTTAGAAGCGAAGTGAAGTCATAGACAAGGGAAAGAAATTCTCAAAGGTAATCGAAAGCCTTTCTGTTATACGATACCAGCATCAAAGGATGGTCTAACTCGGTAACCCGAACCCTTTGAGGGTATTAAACTAGGCTTTCTGCCCAGATAAGATAGGGGAAGATCTTGGTTCAAATCCAATTCGTGAGATTGAGATGGAGATGATAGATGTTGTCCCTGGTTTCGAAGGTTTAATGACTTGTTTGTTGTGTTTTGCAGCTTTGAGAACAACCCTCGGCTGGAAGGTCTCGAGCTGCTGGGGCGTGCGAGTTACGATATGAACTGCTATTGATAAACTTTGCTGGGAAACAGATATTGGACTTTGCTCTAAGTCTTGTGTGCCGGGTGGTGCCATTTTTTTTCCCCTTCTCCTTCCTAAGTATTTTTGATGTTGTGCTGTTGTCTTCTGAGATGCCAACCATTGTGAAGCTTGTAACAGTTATTAATGCGATTATGTGAGTGATTGGACTTGAAGTAGGTAATGTATTGAGTCTCTTGATTATTTATGGGGTCCATCACTGTTAAAAGGTGTAATTTACAAAAATTACCCCTGATGTATGGTTAATAAGGGAAAAAAGAACACTACTTATCATGATTCTTGAGGGTGCTTTTGTAATTCTGAAAGGTGGATGGGTCATTCTGTAGTTAAGCTAAAGCACTCAAAAATCCATAATTTTTGCCCTAAAAATGAAAATCCACCCTCCAATTTTCATTGTTTAACCATGAAATACAACAATATATTAGTATTATTACAGACAACACCCAATTCCATGCACCAGAACCAGTCCCCCAAAAGAAAAAATCTATTGATCAAAATTCAAAAAACTTCAAGAAACCAAATCAACAATTCATGAAACAGGTGGTTCAGCTTCATCTTTCAAGCCTCAAAGATTCCTCATTGGGAGAGAAGTTTTTTCCATTGCCACATTAACCACTAGAGTTTCAGCAGTTTCTGGACGACAAAACTTCAGCTTCAGCTTTCAAGCCTCAAAGATTTCTCATTGGGAGAGACGTTTTTTCCATTGCCACATTAACCACTAGAGCTTCAGTAGTTTCTGGGGACTCGGCTAGACTCCCTAGAGCACAATGCGCATGATATTAGATGAAGATCAAATACAAAAATGTGGTACAAAACAATGCATTAAATAATTGTTTTGAGGAAGGCTTATGGTAACTATATTTATAAAGTTTCCTACTTATATAATAATCAGAAAAATAACTGAAACAGCCCGCACATAGGTGTTAATTAAGAACAGTTGTGATGTGTCTCAAATTTTGAAGTGGTCCTAATTAGCTCAATCACAAAGTTTGAACTAAAGAGATGGTCCTAATTAGCTCAAAAACGAAACTATTGAATTAATCCCCAGTAGGGAATGAATAGAGATGTTAAATGGTCCTTGGCCCGACGGGCCGGCCCGTTTAGCCCGGAAAAAAAGAGGATTAGGTCCTTTTATTAGTAGCCCATTTAAATCAGGGCTTTTCAGGCCCGGACCGTTTAGCCCGAAGCCCCCTAGGGCTAGCCTGGAACCCGCTAGGGCTGGCCCATTTAACTAGGGTTGAGCGGTATAAATGTTTGCATTAAGTAAGTAATATGCTCTTAAATTCCTTGTATATTACAATTTTGATATTCCACTTCACATGTAAGTACGAGTTGTAATGGATTATTATGATTTTGAAATATAATTATTAACAATATTGTTATTATACTTCATACCAAAATATTTAAGCCGATCAGAACTACTAATAAGAAATACATGAAACATAGTGATAGACGGTAAATACTAAATAACCGTTGAAAATAATTTTTAACTAGCCGTTGTTATTTTTTTTATATTTTTTACTCTTTTTATATTATTATTATTATTATTATTATTATTATTATTATTATTATTATTATTATTATTATTATTATTATCATCATCATTATAGCCATAGCCCGCATAGCCCGTTTAGCCCGAAGCCCGCTAGGGTTAGGGTTAGGTCTTTTTTTTGGTAGCCCGTTTAAATCCGGGCTTTTTAAGCCCGGACCGTTTAACTCGAAGCCCGCTAGGACTAGCCCAAAACCGCTAGGGCTAGCCCGTTTAACATCTCTAGGAATGAAGCATGCAGTGAGAATTAGATTCAAAAGGAAAGGACTTTTTAGTTTTTTGAGAGATTTGGATTTCTTTATACTTGACAAAATCTCGGATTCATACAAGCAAATCAACTTAAACTCGTTCGAACTTCAGAATCACAGAATATTTAATCTGAGAGAATTCATATTCATACCGGCAGAGTGATGACCGCGGAGATTTTCAAAGGAGATTGCCAGGTTTTCATATGACGTGTGTTCGGATTTTAAACAAAAACCTTAAATAAAAAGGATTCATAACTGATATGTTAAACAACACAACTACCTCTTCTAAGAAATACTATAAGCTAGACTATCTCACCTCTAGGATTTTGCTACATTTGCACTATGAAAGTTAACCTTTTTAATCAAAGAAAATGAGTATCATAATCAGTCTCGCGTTTCGACCAAGTATCATCATATGTTGGAGAATGTCGAATAATTACGCGTGCGGTCTCTGAAAGCGCTCGGCCTTGCAACTGTTGGTAGATGTTTTCCCGCGTCTGTTGACTCCACCGAGGCTTGACTTCATACTCCATCCACCTGTCAAACCCAATGTGCCACTTGGGACACCGGCTTTTCTGCATTTGCTCCAGACAGATTGCATTTTCGAGTATGTAAAGTGCAAAGTCGATTTCATTTCTAAATCCACAAAATCCTGTTATTTCCACTTTTTTCAACTGGGAATGAGTTTCTGCTGTCTGTGGCCTCATTGCTTTAGGGCCATCACCTTTCACAAATTCAGTCTGCATAAAGGAACCCTCTTTTAGATTTTATCCCACAAAGATATGGATGTCACTTTAAATTGAGAATTTACAATATTACATTTCGTTATATATATTCGGTTCTCAATTTACATGACCACCAATGAACTATAGTCATGGAATTTAACGACAAGTAGTTTAGAGAGTACACCAATGGAATTTGTTATAATCACACAGTTAGTATTAAGATGCATTTAACTGCATCCACTTGTTTTAGTTTGCAATTTGTTCCAACGAATAGAGATTGTGATAAAAGTTATTCTTAAATGCTGCAACAAGATTGCTGTTTTTGAGAAACTTACATCCAAGTGAAACTCAAGTAAGAGTGGGCAACTCTGCGAAAATGGAATTATCCCCAGAAGCATACTCGTGTAGGCTGTACGAGAAATCCGTAACCTTAATTGTCTAAGATTACTGTATGTGTTAATCCGACCAGGCGTGCTAACCTGACAATCAAGAAATCCAAAAGTTAAGATCTGAAACTTGTATAATATGTATAGAAGAGAAGTAGTTGTATTATTCCCGTACCTGATAAATATCATATGCGGTATCCAAAGTTAACGACTTGAGCTGATTGGGAGGCAATACAAAGGACATCCTAACACGAACGTGATACATAATGTCTCGTTAAAATCCATCATAATAAATGCTCTGCAGACGAGGGACATGGTCGAATATGACCTCAACCAGTACTTTACGGCTCCGGAACTCAAATGTAACAAGATTGCTGGCACACAGCTTGATCTGCTGCACCCCAATGCAGTCATCAATGTTGAGATGCTCCAATCAAAGGTTGGGCCCACAAATACGCAACCTAGAAGAACTAGGAAACTCACAGCAATTCATCAGCCAGCGCAGAGTATGTCAAAAGAGACCTGATCTTTGAGGGAGACAGCGGCTCTGAGAAAAGCATCAGCCGGCGGCGAAAGGTCGGAGGTCGCCGGATTACAGTCAGATCGGAGAATTTTGACCCGCTCATCTCCATCTTCATGGCCGTTGTTCATGTTGGTACTCCCCTTCCTGCCGAACACCCGATTGTTGCCAATTTTTGCGGCTAACTCGAGCTCCCGCCAGAGCTTCCTGCCGATTTCCAACTCGTCCACGGCGGCCTAGAAATCCCAACGTTGGGCCCGAATTCGCTATAACGGCAGTTAGATTCAACTGGGAGAGCGGCGATTGGAGGGTTACTCAAATTTTTCTTCGGCGATCGGTCCGAGAGGTTTAACATGGGTAGAAGTTAGGGCATGAGAAAATAATGAATCCTCTGTCGAGAACAAAAAAGAAGAAGAGAAATTTGAGTAAATAAAATGAAATGTAATTTTAGAATAGTCGGTGGTTTAATTGAGATATGTAATTATGTACAGTGTGAATGTTAAGAATGAAATATTTAAAGATCTTTTATGTAAATTTATTAAAAGTTTTTTTAAGTAAGGGTATTTTAGTATTTACACAAATCATTAGCGACACTTGGCATTTATTTGAGACATACCTGTTGTTATGCATGTACGAGGCATGTACGAGGGGTACCTGACAGTAGAATTACCCTAGTGACAAATGCCAAAAGTAACCAAAAAAATAAGGTGAACAAGAATACACCAACTAATATGCAAAGCTGATCGGATAATCAAATGAATTCCACATCAGATCAATTTTTAACACAACAATCTTCAAGATGTATATGATCACATGTTCAAATTTTAGATCAATCCGACAACCACAGATCGAGAAACACACAAAACAGTTTTCTACATAACACAATTCAAAACTGATTTGCAGATAATAATTAGTAAACCAAATGAGCTCCAAATTAACACAAGATACTTAAAGGTGTTTATATGGTTGTGTACAAGTTTCAGCTCATTCCAATAAACACACTGATAATTACTCCGAACAATTTTCGGCGCAGACAAAGAAATGAAGAACAAACTCGATCAAACTTCGAAATAGGAATTCCAAAGAGCCGAGCTCTGATTACCAAAATTTGTATGACACAGCCAAGGAGAAGAACAAGGATTTTCTCGGATTGAAAACCATCATAATTCAATAAAAACAAACCCAAGAACACGATTAAACAATAACACTAGTTTCAATTCAAAATCGATCGGATGAGAACCAAAGCTCTTGGCTAAGACCCAACACCTCTAAACCAAACGAGAATCAAACAATAGGCTAGAAACTCCGATAGGGTTCGAGAAGCCACGAACCAAAGGATTAACCAAAGACCCGATTTGAGATTGATACAAGTGCATAAGGATCACTTAAACACAAAATCAATATGAAGAGAGCTCTCAAAGTTTTCTTACAGAAGAAGGTTCATCCAAAGCTGTAAAAATCGAGCTTAGAAAGTCCTATTTATAGTCTCATCTAAAAGACACAAATAATTGTGCAAAACACCAAAAAAAATCGGATGTGGTCCCTCCTATTAAAAGAATATCAATAACTGGATTAAAAAAATATCGGACATTTACTTCCACCAATACCATCCCTACTTCTATTTGCTTGATTCTTCGTTATAAGATAAAACCAATAACACTTTCTCCAATTGGCCTCCATGCTTCAAGTTTATGAACATTCTCTTCTTCCAAATGTATAACCATTGCCAATACATCGGATTCAAGTTTATGTACCAGTTGGAAGTGATAGTTCATTTCTTTTGACGACCTCGTCATAAGCTACCAACCTCATGCCTTCTATGCACTTAAGTGAATGAAGGTGTCGACCCACATGAGAAGCATTAGCTGCACGAAGCTTCAGAAAACGAACCTAAACAGAAACAATCAGTCTATCAACAATGCAAGGAGAAAACAAAAAGAAGTTGCCTACTGCAAAAAGTTGATAAATTTGGCAACCACTGTTTTGTTATGTTGTTTTCATACAACTATTCTTCTTTTCTTTTCTTCTCCTTCTTCTTCGACTATCTTTTATTTATTTTTCTTTTAAAGTTTTCCAGACACCTACATATTTATTGAAGTACACTTTATAGAAATAGACTTGCTATCCTAACCAACGAACAACAAGCTGCAGAACATAATTCTCAGTGAGAATTCATTCTAAAAGTTTTACTAAAGTCTAAAACATGGTTCAGCGCATGTCAGGGGCAATGCTCCATTCTGAGTTTTAACTTATGTATGATTCATAGCATGATAGAGGCAATACTAGAATTATAACTAACTCAAAACCATCAAGATTTACCTAGATACAGTAACACCCGATTTTCTACAATTTCATAGAGGATGCAAATGAGTAGGTACCCATCAAGCAAAAGAGAGGAAAAACAATAAAACCATTTATTCAAAAGTCTTGTAAAGACCAAAATACATGAGCATGCTATTTAGTTACAGCGGCATTGAGTTATTCCTTTTCAATTTACCTCTTCTCAAGAGTGCATTATCACATATGAACTAGGCACCGAGTTAAGTGTCATACAAAAAATTCACCAAGCAAACTTAAAAAGAGGCATAAAGTATGATCAAATGTACAACACATGAGAGCATATGGTGACAAGAATACTGAAAAAATTGTATGCCAAAACGACAAGGGGAACTATATATAACATGAAGCTTCTCCACATGACACATGAATGTAATAATGCATACACCTGAGCTTTTACTCATCAGAAAATATTTAGACCATACTTGTTTGCATGAAGTTGACGATGAACACTTGGAGAAGTGATTTCAATTAAGACAGAGTTTTAGCGAGGTAAGCACTTGAGAAGAAAAAAAAAAGAAAAAGAAAAAAACGCATTTAATTCTAGATTGAGTAGCTCAAATTATTAAAATCAGTAACTGGAACTTCTTTTCACCATCTTCCCACACACTTATAGTGTGATTAAGAACCAAAAACTATTGCTGAATATTAATACTATTAGACCTTAAAAGTAAATATCGTATGCTCATAACACTTATGCTTCAGATAAGACTCGTACTAGATTCGTGCTGAAGTAAACAAAGTAAACATAAAGAAAGCGGACATTGGTTTGTGATGACTCAAGAAACAAGTGAACTATTATACGTTACATTTGCTTGAACAATAATAATGGAATAGGAGGGAAACAAAAGATCTAAAACACACGAATAAGTGCATTCTTCCACGAACGACAAGCACAAAAACTCACCTGGTCGATAATTGCTCAAATCGTCGGAAAATAAAATGAATTACCCCTGTTTCAACAAAATTCAAACCAAGTCGAGCACCCGGGTATGATCCGGATCGTCGGATCTGACGCGGCGAAATGATATCTTGTCGTTATACAAGTAAAGCACCACGGCGGAGACTAGAATGCCGACGAGATCGGCGACAGCGTCCTTGAAGGAGGCTCCAGATGATTGAAAAAAGCCCAGTTCGTCGGCGAACTCCTTGGCGACTCCGGCAGCGAAGGAGACGATGGATCCGAACAAAATGCTGCGGCGGCGGATGAATGCGTATCGGGCCTTGGACGCAAGAAGGGAGAAGACGATGGAAATGAAGAAGCAGAAAAGGAGGTGCTCTAGTTTGTCGATGGCCAGCCAGCCATCATCGTTTTCCATGTTGAAATTGTGTATTTTCGTGCTTTGCGAAGATGGGTTTGGGAAGCAATTGAAGTAGTGAAGGTGTGCTTGTTTACAAATACTATATGATATTTGGTTTTTTTTCGTTAATTTGAGTTAATTAAGAAAAGGATTGTATAATTAGTTGTGAACTAGTATTCATTTGCACAGATGTAAATAAAATTAAATACTATAAGTTATATTTATGTATATAATATAAAAATTATAAGTTATATAATTGTATTATATTTCAAACATATAGTCTTATAAATTATATTTATGTATATAATATTAAAATTATAAATTATATAATAGTATTATATTTTAAAATTTGATCATTGGTTAAAATAAATAGTACACACAATCTGATTGTATACGAATCACTATATTGATTGCATAAAATGCAATAAATATATATTTTTTATAATTTTGAGTGATCATGACCAATTAATTAGCTGAAAAATGTTACATTTATTATAACAATTGCTTATGTGATTTTAAGAAATTTTACTATGACATAAAAAAAATTAATTTATTAATAAACAACATCTTCATCATATAAAAAAATATTGATTTTAGTGTAAAATATAATTTTATGTAACTTTCATATATTATTTAGTATAAAATATAATTACTAATTTTAATATTAACTATTATATTATTCAATAAAAAATATAATTATTAATCAATTAACATAAAATATAATGGTTTTTGTCTTAATTAACCCAAAAAATATAATGAAATATTTTCTTATTAATGAGATTGGGTGTATTAATGCCACATAAATAAAATTTATTAGGTTCTATTTATTAGGTTTTATTAATGATTTGCCACATAGGTAAAATTTATTAGGTTTTATTTATTAGGTAAAATTTATTGCTTAGCTAGCAATTATATATATAGAGATGAGATTTGTATTAAAATAAAATTTAAATAAAATAATTAAAATTGATTTGATATAAAATGAGAGATAGAAGATTCAAAATGATAGATAGTTAAAATTATGTGAGTGAATAAATACTCAAGTGAATTTGATGTGTAAGAATGATTAATTGATATTATTTAATTATATTGGTAATACTGATAGTGAAGTTGAATTAAAATTGATTTAGATTTTGAATTGAGATATTTTTTTAAATTAATTGGTAAACAAACATGCCTGACTAAAATCGAGGGTGATGTAGAACGTGAATAAGAACGGGAAATACAAGATACTCTCTCATGAAAAACTCTCAATATCAGATAAAATTCTCAAAATCAACCACCATCATTCAGTGCTTTGACAGATAATATATAGAGTCCTACTAGACCTAGCCTTTCTTGCCTAACAAATTGCAAGATATTTATTTTACCTCTAATAATTAATTAACTAAGGAAATAAATCAAAGGAAGAAAAATGCCAAGAAATAAATAATTTAAATTCGAAGTCGATCATATTTATCGAGGAACGCGAGGGCAATCTCGTCTCCATCATCCTTCCCCCGTTGAGAAGGATTCACCCTCGAATCCGAAGTGATCTCGTCTCCGTCTGAGTCGTCGCCACGCAAAAGGGCCAACGACGTCACGTGAAAAACATCAGATGAACACTTATGAGATGGTAATCGAAGACGACATGCATCCCGCGTGAGCCGTTCAAGGATCTCATAGGGGCCAATGCGAACATCCGGCGGAGAAACAACCCACACAAAGTCGCCCACGTCGAAGATCACGGAACGACCGTCAAACGGACTCACCAAGTCGTCACGCGACCCGAGAAATAAATAATGCCACGATGACTGTTGCAATGGAACCGAACGATGAATCGATGGATGTAAGACAAAACGTGTGCCCTCAAACAAAAAGCCATACGTGTAAGGCGCCCATCATGCATCACAATACGATCAAAATGCTGAGGACGTCCCAATAAAAGGTGCCAATCATCCATAGGCACAATATCACACCACACTTCGTCTTTATATGCAGAGCCAATAGAGAAAGACACCAGCACACATTGGTTAACAGGGATAACATTGACATGTTGTATCCATGCAAGAGCATAAGGATTCGGATGCGGCTCCGTCGACAACCCAAACTTCGCCACGGCCTCAGCAGAGACCACGTTCTCGCAAGACCCGGAATCAATAACAAAACGACACACCCGGCCGCCCACGGTGCACGTAGATTCGAAAAGATGCGGACAGGCCCTCATCAGTGGAAGTGACGTGCGGGGACAAAAGAGAGCGATGAAGGATAAGCGCGTGTCCCACGTTCCCCGAGACATGCACCTCAGGAACCTCCGGTTCTTTGTCAAAAATAGGAGGGCCATCATATATCGCTGCTGCCGAATATTTCATTGTTTCCTCGACGAACAAAGCACGCGACCCAGTCCTCTTGGACAAGCCGCCTGCCGATGTCCAAGCTCACCGTAGCCGAAGCATCGTATCCCGCCACCATCTCGCTGTGTACTGGCGGCTTCCGCCAACCCCATGTCGTCGTTTGATTGTGGTCAGGTCGCAGCCCACTGCTGACCACAGTCTTGCACCCCACTGCCGGCGCCGAGCTCGAGTACAAGCCGGTAAGCTGGTCCACGTTCGGATTGCACACCGGTACTTGCAGGATTCATAGAAGCATCCGACCGAAAGGAAATCGCAATGGACGAACCCGTCTTTCTAGCCAATTGTTTCTCAACGACGAGAGCTCGTGATGTGCATCCGAAATAGACTCCAGAACAATGAGATTAAGCACATCTTGTATAAAAAAA